AAAGGCCACAGCAGCTATATGCTTAGACTTTCTTTTTCGTGACAGTAGTGCCTTCAGCTTTTTCCTTAACCTACCTTTTTCACCCCCATTATATCTCCATTAGCTTAACTATTTTATCCAGCAGACTTGTTTCTCTCAGGATGAGCAGCATCACAAGCCGCATCTAACTCACTCAAAGAATCCTGCTTCCTCACCTGTGACCTAGACCTACAAGTGCAAATTGTCTTCTGCAGACATAACTCATATCCTTTCCCTTTGTACCACTGTTTATGCCTGAATTATTAGAATTCAGGGAATTTTAATTAACAAAAATTATATTCATATACATTGCTTAAAAAGAAAGAGACTACATGAAACAGCAGGTAGCAGTGCATGCTTTTTTTCCCCTCCTAAAAATAAGTAAAATAAAAAACATATGAGAAGGGATAAATTGTACACTGCATATATAAGAAAAGTTACCAATTAAAAACTGAGTTATTTAATAATTTACCGTACTGTGAAGAAGTGCAAAAACTGAACATTTACCAGTTACAACACTAGTACAACCATTTACCATTACTACCCCCAGACTATTGATAATGCATGAAACTAGAACACTTTATAGAATGGGGAAAGGAAGAAAATTACCACATTTATCTTTCCACTCAAGCAGCACTGATGACCCTAGAAGCTTACTACTCATAGTAAGTTTTCTAAAAGAAAAAAGAAAAGCAAGCAAGCAAACTCCACAGTCACTAAAAATTAGGAATAAAATAGATTAGATATAGAGACAGGCAGCTTCCATGGGCAACTTCAGCAGAAGCTTTTGATATGTCTATAATGCCTTCTAAATGTACATACAGGACAAAAGATGCACAAAAGTCGTGAAAGTGTGCACATACAAAACAGTATGCTGTACTGTGCTGTCATGATGGAGGTAAATGCAAGTGCATGGACGACAAGTACACTCACAGGAACCACAACATGCAAAAATTAAAGAAGTCACAAGCAAATGCACCATATATGTTGTCAGTGACAGAACTTAATTTATATACCAAAGCTGTTTCTAAGCATGCATACTGGCTAGCAGTTTGCATATAAACACATTTTGCTTTAAAGGAAATTACAATGGAAATATAGTAAGTCAACAAATGCATACACATTATAACAGTTTTCATAAATATATTTGAGATGATGGCTAGAAAAATCTGCAATAGTTACTAATGTTGTTCAGTACTAACTCAGTTAAAGCTAATTTCAAGTGATAGAAAAAGGCAGAAAACTATACAACACTGATCTAATAAAGATAATACATACATCACTTTGAATTGACTTTAGGGTTTAAATCACCTAGGATATATCTGTGATCAAATCTCAAATTCTGTTGTTGAACCTTTTTTGATGCCCCTACCATTTCTGCGCTAACTAAATTTTCTTAGCTGATCTGATAAAAAGGACACACAGAAAATATACCTGGAAAATCTGTGGACAGCAGTGAAAACAAGAAACTACCAAGACAACTACATCTTAATCTCCACAGTATGGAATGGTTAATGAAGGAACAAATTCCAAACAACTATTTGGGGAAAAAAACGCCTCCTGAAATTACCCAGCTTGCTTTAAATAGCATCACACAGACATTTGTATACAAATTTGTAAAATCCCTTTTCAAAATCCTTACAGGTCTTATTTGGTTCAGAGAGTTCAAATACATTGTCTCTGTATCCGCTCAGAACACCTCTTACTCTCTACTGTATTATAAAACCATGCAAATTCTTATTCCTGAGAAGGAAGAAAAGAGTAATTAGTCACTCATCTTTTTTCTGTTATTCTTTCTCTCCTACCTTTTCAAGATCTTCAATTGACCTGTCCAATAGTATCAGATCTTGCCAGCAGGCATGCCACACAGTTTAATGACAGCCAGAACACATGCTTTACATCTTCCTCATTGCCATACTTAGTCTATTCTGCATTCACAATAAATCCAACACTTCTAGGAAGTACCAGGTCACTACATGTACAGTATTACACAGCACAGGTGTTAAGTATCTCTCCATTTTCTAGAGCAGAAGGCAGTCAATGGCTTGTAATCCCTGAAAAGACAGTTAATACAGCTTACTCTCTCTCTTCCATAGGGCAATTCAAAAACAGGCTGAGCACCAGACTGCTTTTGCTAAAATCCCTGGCCTGTTCCTGACATTAAGGTAATACAGATGCGGACTTTTGGTCACGGCATATTATGTTACTTTTTTGGAACTATTTTGGTGTCATATGTGCTAAATCTTCTGTATCACATGAAACAGATACCTGCAGTGTTCACAGATCTCAGATATGCGAGCTGATATATTTATGCTGACCTCATTTCACTACCAAGCAAACACCCACGTGTAAAACACTCTTAAGAAAATGAGCAGGTGGGTTAAAGAAGTGCATCCATGGGGAAAGTCATCAGTTTTCTGCCTGTTTGACCTCCTGGTTTGGCTCACCACAGGATCCAGCGAGGACCACAGCCAATACCAAGGAAAGGTAATCACAAAGTGTGTGCGTGTGGAATAATTCTACAGCAAACTGCACTGTGTTTAAGAAATATCATGGAGATTTTCAGTGCGCAACTGGAAAATGCTGTGAGCAATCTGAGACAGCCCTGCTTTGAGCAAGAGGTTCGACTAGATGACTTCCTGAGGTACTCTCCAAACTAAATTCTTCAATGATTCTGAAAAGAAAAAAAAAAATCAAACCAACAAAACCACCCAAACCACTATGAATGCTCTTCCATGACCCATTTGCTACTTGGAGCTGGCAACATCAGATCAGTTACTTATCAAATATCAATTTTAAAATGGTGCCCATATTGCTCTAGCTGGCATTTTTAGCAGAACAGCCACAAGGATGAGGACTGGAAAACTATTAATCCAGAATTCTTAATTACAATGATTCCAGGAAAAAGCATAAAATTCTAGTAGCTGTAATTGTAATCCATTTCTTCCCTTAAAATGGCTATCCTTTTTCCTTCCCTTTTGTTTTGCCTGGATCCTATCTGAACACAAAACCAATAAACAGCAACAGTCAACGTATTCCATCAAGACTATGCTTTGCTCCTTAAAAACATATTACATTTAGTGTCAGAAAAGACAGTTGTCTGTAAAAGTATTCTAATAAAAGTAGACCTAGTCCTTTACAATTAAATATTTTATTTTTTTTTCTAATTCTTCCTTCCTCACTCAGTACTTCTGAAGCAAGTTAAACATTAAGAATTGTTATTTGCCATGGCCTTAAGAAAGTAAAGTCTATATACTCAAACTCTCAAATCTGGATCATCTGTTTAGCTGCACCGCCATGGGATTATCTGGACAATTTTAATACAATGAAGCCATTTATCTTACCATAGACAAACAGATAATGTATGTTCTGCCTGCTTTGAAACATTTTGTATAACCCACTGCAATCACCAGTCTGCTGTTAGTGTGTTCCTACTGACATGAAGTATGGATGCAGAATATATTAGTCATTTCTGTCAATAAAATGCAATTTCTTTCAAGCCCTGTGTTGTATAATATATACCCTTTTAAAATCTGAATTGTCATGGTACATTTATTATCTCAATTTCTCTTTCAAGTTTTAAAGAATAAAACAATTACTCAGTGATCTAGCTCATTACCAAAATATTCCCCATTTGCAATACAATGCACAAGTTGCTGTCTTTTTTCCATGTTTTTATTTAACTCTGCAAACTTAGAAAAATCATACTAGTAATTACAAAGGGAAGACTGAAACAACAATATAGCTTTTTGATTTTCTCTATTTCTTATTTGAAATACTTTTTTTTACTTGCAGATTTCACTTGCCTGCAACCCATTTGCCAACCCTGCAAGGCTTCCGCCTGTCCTGAATAACAACTGTGAAGCAAAAGAATGTTGCAGGGGGATGTGTGTGTATAAAAAAAACAATCATAATGATTTTTGCTCAAGCATCACTGAAGCTGGGGGAGAAGGGGAAAACAGAGCTGTTTCCCTGCAGTGTCAAGTTGCTAAGTGCCCATAATCACTTCGATAATCTTTGTCACAATGTGACAAACACTATGTTCTTAACCCCACTGTGTGATTTTTTTTTTCCCCTTCTCTGACAGAATGACAGCAGGTAGTAATTGTGCTACTCAAATGTCAGCCTACACACAATATTGTTCACAAAGCTTAGTTATGAATATTAAAAAGCAAAAGTATGAAAAGGAGTAGATTGTCATATTACACATCTATATTTAGATTATTATCGTGTCCTTCATATTCCTCAAATAATTTCAGAAACTGTACACAGAGCTGAGAAATGAAGAGAAGCTTCCGAAGTCCTTTCCTTGTGCCTGTGGCTGCTCAGGAACACTCCGTGCTTTTAGCAGGGCAGCTTCCTCTAGAACAATCGGAAAAGGCAAACAGACCTTTTCTTGAATTGGAACAACATCTGACTCCCATACGAGAGGAAAATCAACAACTGACCTTTCTCAAAAGCAACTCAATCCAGATCCATTACATTCCAGTAGCAAAAATGGGCTTTGCTAGGGGAATGGGGGGGACAGGCATGAAAGGAGCTAAACACAGTTCTCTGGAAAAGAAGGCAATGAAAGCAGGGAAGGGAGAAAGGAAAGGGAGCAGCACCACAGATTTGGTCTCTATAGCTTCTGTTACAGCAGAAAACACTGCAATTCTCTTTCAGACTCAAACTCTTAGGACACAGCCTTATCATACAGCAGAAAAGCAGACAGAGCTCAGCACCATGGCAACATCCACTTGCTTAATTACCAGCCAAGAAGGATTATTACAAGAACACTGGAAACATGTTTCACAAAACCTGTTTCCTTGATTTTTTTCACCATAACGTGAACAATAGGAAGCCAACAGCAAAGGGACAGACACACAAAGAAAACCAACACTTTCATTCAGCATCAAAGAGTTTCTACAGATGCACATTGGTTTCATATAAACAAATTCTCATGGCAAAAGCATCACCAGTAAATAAGATAATTAACATACCTTTCAGTCGATGACTTAGAATCTGTTCCAGAATGGCTGCAAAATTATTAAATTCAGGGGAAGTATCATCTATAGTCTCAAAACAAGAACGGTCGATCAGAGTCTTGACTGAAAACCTAGAGCAAAAGTACAGGACAGTCATCAATTCTCTGGCTAGCTATGGGTCCTCTATCGCAGGACAGCAGCTTGTGTAATTCAAACAAGCAAAGAACCTGGATGATTTCAAGTTCAGTCAGAGCAACACACACACATACCACGTTGAGAAACAGCCTGGAAATACAACTGACATTGTTGGCCTTAGGCATAAAGCCTTCAAAACAAAATCAAAAGAAAAATCCCCACACTTTCTATGAAGAAGTGAGCTTGTTATTTTCAAATTATTTTGCTTTTCTCTAACTTATTTTTAACAAAGCTGTACAAAAACAAGCACTGAAAGGCATCCAACATGGATTTGTCTTTGTAATCCTAAAGATCATGATTTTTGCTTGACACTTTGCTCAACGCTCCTTCAGAGAATCAGAAGTATAAACTTCATCCTATTACGAGAACATTGTCATTTCATCCTAATGCAAGAATAATCCAAACATATTATAAAAGAATGAATTTTTATGCACTGTTAACTCTGTGCATTATCTTGGAAAGGTTGATTTCCCTGTGAATGGGAGTAATCCCTATTCAGCATCATATTACTTCATTATTATGCCAGAAAAGCTATCAATTTAAATCATCTAACATTCGAAATTGGAAAAGCTGAATCAAGCAGACAAGACGTAACCAGTCGATTAGCCAATGTTAGCTGTGTTTAGTTACACCTGCACTTACAAAATTTCTTTCTTACTCAGAAGATAGTGTAAACTTCAAGAAACATGAAAAAAATTGATTTTACTCTTGCTTTCTCCATTTTAATAATAATCTGTTTTTAGTTTCCTTTCTTCTCCTTGTTCTTTGGTTTTCAGTTTCAAGGCAAGTTTCAGATGTCCTCAACTTTGAAAGTAACATTTATTTTGAGGCATTTATTGTGTTTTTTGTAACAATCTTTGTTTGCATTGATGGAGCCATACCTGAGGCAACAGTTTTCACGACACCGAAACTTCAACAGTACCATAGAGCTTCAGGAGTCCTCGCTCTGCTGGCTCACCCCAGGCACCCTGCCCCCTCAGCTGTGCCACTTATACTTTTTATGGGGCTCATTATGAACGCATCTAGATTTTTAGTTCAGGAGGGGTGGAGTGATTCTTAAACATGGAGACATTCATGATAAATATGCTTCACAGCATGTCAACACAAACAGTTCTGTGGCACGGCTGCAGAACCACCACTCTATATAGGCATGGGCAGGAATGAGACTCCTTCAAGCACCAGTTCTATTTTCAAATGCTCTGCATTGTAAAAGTAACTAAACTGCATCCTTAGTGGAGGCAGCACAGCCTCCTGATGCTCATTTACTAAATGAAACTAATTATGCTCAAACTAAACTGACATACAGATTTCAAGAGCTTCAACTCAATTATGCTATAGGAAGTGAACTTCTGAATAAAGACTCCCTGTCCCACCTTTCCTGCAGCTTCTATTGTTGTAAGGGTTTCAGCAGGACAGGAATTAGGAGCAAGAAGGGTGGGGGAGGAAGCTGCTTCTGCAGTGCCAAATATGACTCAGTTTTGAACTCCTCCACATTTTTAACCAATTTTCAGTAAGTGAAAGACATGCATGCCCACCACTAAATTTCTACCTAGTCACCATCATTGTTGTCAACTACTCTGATGGTAGTAATGATTGTTGCCTCAAAGCCATAAAAGAGCCGTGAAATTATCTATTTAAAAAATCTTTCTTAATTAAAAAAAAAAAAGTTATATAGCAATGCCACGTTCAAGTCAGTATTAACTCTAACAAGAAGACTCCTCCCACACCATGCAGATCTGAAAAAGAGAAGGTGCAGCACATCCATCACTCACTCACAGGGACACACACAAGACAGACCGTGAGTTAGCAGTGTAATGGACTGGGCTATAGATAGGAATATCATCTTAAAACTCAGTGACATGATCATCCATAAACTGCAAAACAAAGTAGTGTATAATACGTAGCTATGCCTATTTTTCCTCTATTCAGTGTCGTACTTAAAAGTTCACAGGTTAATACCATACGGGATATGTATTCAGAAATGGAGATATATTCAAGAAAAAATTAGTAATTCACATATACTTAAAAAAAAAATAAAATACTTATCTGTGATTTTTAGAAATTTTAAAGCATTCTGCAATTCAATTGAAGAAAAAAAAAAATCTACTTTTTAAAGACACAACAATTTTTAAATACCTAGGGTCTGATTAGAAAAGACAGTATAACATCATCATCATCTACGGTAGTCTATTTAAGTGCTCGTGTCACTGCCAGCATGGTCTCCATAGAAATACTTATTTCCATCTCTATATGCTTTCACCAAACAGCTAAGCAATCTTATAGTTATGTCAAGTTTGGGTGAAATTTGCTTTTAAGACAGGGAGTGGAAGTATGTACACCTTATCTCCATAGATCAGGAAAATAATAGCGCTGCCAGGCAAAATTTGATTTACAGGAAATATTTTTGGCGATATTTAAGAAAATTCTTAGGCAAATATTCTTGTGTTGGTTTGGGGGTTTTTTGGTTGGTTGGTTTGGTTTGGTTTTTTTCTTTTTTCTCCAGTACTACAGAGAGGCAAACATCTCTGTAAATCTAAGATAAAAGTCACAAACACATTTTGCATGGCATTCCCACTTCACCATGCTTACCACATAGAGTGGAAGAAGGATGTAAGGAACGTAGAAGTGATGCCTTTGAAAAAAGGTTACACCGTAAGCACTAGCTGAGCAGTTTTACTCAATCATAAAAGAAGCCTCATATGTTGTGTGCAGCGTATGGCCCACCATAAAAGAAAGCCCATGCTCTTGCACAGTCACATGGAACCACGTGGGGACTGAAAGTCAAGGAAGAAAAGGACAAGTCTAAAGAACACAAGAGTTATGAAGAAAAAATGTCCAAGTAGAGATAGAGCAGCTTTCTTGTTTCTCTTGGTTGTTCCCAACTTCATCTCCTCTCCACAGGGCTGCTCAGGCAGCACTGCACTCTGGAGCAACACGTTAACAGAAATTGTAACAAAGGACCTGAGAAAGTAAAGTGGTCTGAAAACAAATTTAAAATTTTCTAAGGTTAACTTCTTGTAGAAGCAGAGGAGTAATATAGCTCCAATACTTGTTGCTTCAAGACTCTTTAAAAAAAAATGTCTTTTATCAAATAATTTCCCGCTATGTGACTGCAACAATAGGACTCATATGGGAACTGCCACTGAAGTACCAGTGTTTCTAAATTACCTTCCTGAACTCTGATGTTTCCTGATTCTTTTATATTCTTCTATGTCATGAATCTAGTCTTACTTGAGCCAAAAAAAAAATAAAAATGCAGAAACAGTAGCATTCTCCAACCTTAAAAATTCCTTCTGAATTATGTAAGAGAGAAACATTCCTGAATAAGCAATCTTTTGGGGGTAGGTTCTTCCACTGTTTTGCAAAATGCACAAGGTCTCCTAAATTTCTTTAATAACTCCAAACTGAAGCCAAACCTTTTGTGGACATATCTCAGGTCTACAGGTTTATTTCCAAAACAGCAACAAGCCTCTAGTTAATAAGCAAATAGATAGAAAATTTGACTGCTCTATGAATTTGTCACTTTTCATTGTCAGATTCTGCTCCTTTCTGTTTTCAAATGAATTAAAGGATTCTGTCAAATTTATTTAGCTTGCAATCTGGGAAATGTCATTAAAACGCCATTTTGAAGAACATAAACTATTAATAGAGAATAATCCCCAAGATTACAAACTAATATCCCTTACGCTGGAGGAAGTGGCTTGGACATCAAACCAGACAGTTCAGTTAAGGGTCAATGTCACTGCAACAGCTCTTATACATATTAGCAATTTTTAAAAATACATTTCCTGACAATTGTTCAATTCTGTGTTAACATTCTGTATTTCAGCTATGACCCTTGCTTCCAAGGCCTGTCTCTACTTTCTTGGTGATTCTGTAGCTATATGGATCTTTGATCTATGAATCTTAGGGAAGACTAGATTAAAACTAGGTGAACAACCCAGAATAACCTCAAAATCCCAGCACTGGAAAATGTAAGGCATCAAACTTTAGGGAAAAAAAGGTATGGAGAGAAACAGAACTTAGAATATGCATTACTTATTCAAACAAAAAATTGCTAAAAATTACTACAACCTAAATCACAGTTTTGCAGTTACACAAACATAACCATGTCCTTTCACATGCAATTGGTCTGTGGAACTTTAGGAACTCTGTTATTTCCCATGGAAAATGTAAGGCATCAAACTTTAGGGAAGAAAGGTATGGAGAGAAACAGAACTTAGTAATGCATATTCTTATTCAAACAAAAAATTCCTAAAAATCACTACAACCTAAATCACAGTTTTGCAGTAACACAAACATAACCATGTACTTTCACATGCAATTGGTCTGTGGAACTTAAGGAGCTCTGTTATTTCCTGTAGCCACTACAGTGCCCCTCAGCACTTGGTGGAAACAAACTGTTCCTTCCAGAGAGGTAAATGTCCACACGAGGAGTTAGATATCATCACTGTAAGAAAAGAGTGAAAACCCAAAGACTGGTTCAATATATTAAGTTAAAATCTGCTAAACTGAAGCTTTGACAAAAATAGAGAATTAAATTATCAGACACTGTTAAAAGATGGTAATTCAGAAGAGTATCTTCCTTGTCATCTCTCACCTTCACTGGGTAGCAAGCCATACCATCCAAATTTAATTGAATCATTTCATTGGAGATGTTTTTACCAGAAATATTACATATTCTCATAGGATTTTTATTGGAAAGGACTATTATCTTACTGGATTTGATTTGGCAATTCCTAATAACTAACACTTTTCAATAATAGAAAATGTGTAATAACTACAGTAAAGCATAGAAACATTTAAAACATTTACACTTACACTGGCACAATAAAAATATAAATAAATGTATGCACATCATAAAAATGCAGATCCTCTTTTCCTCATCATCCTTTCTTTCTCATCATCCAAATTTTAAGGTATATCCACAAACTAGAAACTTCAGATTTTGTGAAGACATAGCAAAATTAAATCGTTTCACTGAAAATAATTAGAATACTCCAATTTCAAGTAGTTTCTGCAGTAGCTCTTTGTTTCATACGTGTTTGACTAAATTCCCTCAAATTTCTAAGCATCTTTGAATTTATTACAACATCATTTCAACTGCAGACAAGGACATGAAATAAACAAACTGAAAAATAAAATGTTAACAGCACAGAGTACAGAAGAGTTCCTCTCAAATGAGGAGGCAGGAAAAAGACAGCTAGCTCTGCAGAACACAGTATAGTCCTTTTAAAAGAACTGTTTATATCCTGTACAGTTATCATTACTTGAGAAAACCGGTCTGTTCCCAAGCCTGTAGATTGGCAACTTCTATATCTCTGTAACAACAGCGAAACTGAAAACTTTTGTTCCTTGTATTTGATCTACTTCAGCAAGTTTGTTAAAAACCTTCTTTTTCAATGTTCTCGTTGCATATATTTTTCACAGCTAAGAGTAGAAATACATATAACAGCCTGGGAAAAGACAGAATAGTGTCAAGGCTACTCTGAAACCCAGATACCAGGACTTGAAGGAATACTGGGGCAAATTTCTTTCAGTAGGCAGACGACACAGTTACACTTCGTAAAGCCCATTAACAATGTACAAAAGAAAAAAAAAAAAAAAAGAAGGAAAGAATACGGGGTCCTAAATCGTTTTAAAAAATCCTTCTGCAGCGTTCAGTGGTGAGGGTACAAAATTAACTAGTAGCTGTCCTGATACATTATTAACATTTTTAAGAACAGAAGTTATATCATAGCCCATATGAATCTGTTGAAGACCTCCTCCAGATAATATCCAAATCAGTTCGATAACTTAAAAATTTAGCAATGGAAACACATGAACTCATGAAGTTACCGGCACATTCCCGTGTTTAAGTTTGCCGTGATGTAAGGGGCCAGCACTGCACCCCTGGAAACGCCGCAGGAATCAGCACTGACAGGAGCGGGAACACTCACACCTCAAGCCATAGGAAGCATCATTATTACGCTTGTATAAGCTCAGCACTAAGATGCTAAGAAAATAAAATATATAATTGGGATACGCTAGCTCTAGCCTGTACTGCGGATCTCCTGATCTAGATTTTGGAGATAAAAATACCCGCTGAAGGCAGGCTCCGCGGGACCGCTCTGGTGGCAGCAGCGCGCTGCGGGAGCAGCAGAGGAGCCGCTCCTGCAGCAGCCCGGAGGAACAGCTTTGGGTTTCCCTTCACGTCCAGTGTGTATCCAGAGCCAATTCCCAAAGCGGCCGTGCGGCGGGCACGGAGAGAGAACCAGCCAACACCGGAGTCTCTTCGCACGGAGACGAAACCCCTCAGTGCAGCGCTGCCCGGCGCTGAGCCTGCCCTGCGCCGCCACACGGCCCCGGCCCAGCACCGCCATCGGGGTGCCCAAACCGATCCCCCCTTGCTCCACAAAAGAGCATTTAACGCCCCCGTGTAACGCCCCTCTGCGGGCCGGGGGCGCCCCTGCCGCCCGCCAACGCGCCTCAGGCAAACGCTCCCCAAGGAGCTGAGTCAGGGTGGAGGAGGCTGCCCTCTCCCGCCGCTACCTGCCCCCCGCAGGCCGGGCCCCCCACGCCTGGAGGCCAGCAACCCCCGCCTCGGAGGCCGGCCCCCCATTCCTGGAGGCTAGTAACCCCCCCTCGGAGGCCAGCAAACCCCCCTCGGAGGCCAGCAGCCCCCCCCCCTCGGAGGCCAGCCCCCCTTGACAGGGCTGCCGCCGGCGCTCCCGCCCTCGAGCGGCCGCCGGTCACCTGCGCGCAGGGGCCGGCAGGGTCCCCTCAGGCAGGGCAGGGCCGGGCAGGGCCGGGCCCGGCGGCTCACCTGCAGACCGTGATCAAGTTCCGCCTTTCCACCGCCGCGTTGCGAGCCGGAACGCTCTTCCTACGGGCGGACACGTTGAGCCCCCCTAAACCGAGGGACGCCATCTCCGCCGGTGGCAGGTGGAGCCGCTGGGGCTTGCGCGGAGTCTTTGTTCCCGGCCTCCCGCTCTCGGGGATGCTGCGCCCGCCGCTGCGCGCAGAGGAGGAGAACCCCGTGGTTTTTTTCCCCGCTTCTCCTCCCGCCGCCCGCTCCGCGCCCCGAGGCCGGTGGGCCGAGGAGGCGCCGGGG